ATTTAAAAACTCTTGGGCCTTGTTCGGTGTGGACTTTGGAAACTGTAGTAAAAAGTACATCTCTCTGCCCGGCCCAGACACCGGCCCATCAAGCAACATTAATCCTAGATAACATTAGAACTTCGGCTGCAAAAGATTGGTTAAAAACATTTAAATATAAAACAATGCTATAGTTATAATAAAAATGATTTAAAAATAGCACCTGGGTGGCCTTCGGGCCACCTTGAAGGTGCAGTCCTCTCTCCCCCTGATGGGTTCGAAGTTCGAATCCCATCCTTGTCACTTTGTTAAAAAAAAAAATTATTTAAAAATAATTTTTTTAATATGTGTATTTAAAATGCAGATTAAAAACATCTTTTTATAATAAATTTGTATAAAAAATATAAAAATAAATATTAATTTTAGAATTAATATAAAAATAAATATTAATTTTAGAATTAATATCACATGAGTAAATTTAATTAGATAATTAATAAATTAAATATTATTTTTTATTTTTTTAAGGCTCTTAAAGGTACAATTTAAAAAAACTCTTAAAGATAAATAATTTTTAGTACTTCATGTTATAAATGGACTGATTCCACTTTATCCCTAACTAAAAACATCACTGCAAGATTTGAGTTTCAACTTCCAACTCCTCTTTTCTTCAACCTCTTAATAGTTATCTTTGTTAAAAAAAAAAAAAAGATAAATGCTTTTTAAATTTATAAGTTAGGTAAGAAATTTATAGTAACTTTTTATTTAAAAATATCGATTTTATTATTTTTTATTTAACAATATGAACTTTATTTCAGTTGAATTCAAATTGTTGTTTTGCATGTTATTATTGTCATTTAATATATTTTTAAATAAAAAATATTTTTATTCTTATTTTTAAAAAATAAAAGTTTAAATCTTGATTTAGAAACTAAAAGAATTTTATTTTTAACTAGAAAAAGGCAAAAACCTTTCTTAAGCCCCCAAACTTGCCCTAAAATAGTATTTAAGCTTTTAAACTAAAAATAAAGCATATAAACCCTCTAACTCTACTAATGATGCAAATAAACCCTTTTCATTCATGAGTGTTTATGCTTTCAAGTTGATATTAAACATGAAATACTATTTGATCCATTTGTAAGAAAGGCTTATTTGCATTATTAGTGGAGTTGAAGGCTTTATCTGCTTCATTTTTAGTTAATAGGCTTAAATACTATTTTGGAATAAGTTTGGAGGTTTAAGAAGGGTTTTTGCCCTAAAAAAATAAAAAAAATTATATGAAATTAATATATATCAATTTGTGTTACAAAAAATTAAGTAAAAAATATATTAAAATTATGTTATTTTAATAAAATATCATAAAAAACTAAAATAACTTCATTTTTATTTAAAAATATCGATTTTATTATTTTTTATTTAACAATATGAACTTTATTTTAGTTGAATTCAAATAGTTGTTTTGCATGTTATTATTGTCCTTTAATAAATTTTTAAATAAAAAATATTTGCATTCTTATTTATAAAAAATAAAAGTTTAAATCCTGATTTAGAAACTAAAAAAATTTTATTTTTAACTAGAAAAAGGCAAAAACCTTTCTTAAGCCCCCAAACTTGCCCTAAAATAGCATTTAAGCTCTTAAACTAAAAATGAAGCAAATAAACCCTCCAACTCCACTAATGATGCAAATAAACCCTTTTATTCATGGGTGTTTATGCTTTTAAGTTGATATTATACATGAAATACCATTTGGTCCATTTGTGAGAAGAATTTATTTGCATTATTAGTGGAGTTTGAGGGTTTATCTGCTTCATTTTTAGTTCATGAGCTTAAATACTATTTTGGAATAAGTCTGGAGGTTTAAAAAG